TGCCTCCTTCCTCTATAACACAATTTGGATACATTTCAAGATTTTTCTTTTGATATCCTCTTCCAATTCTTTTCGTTTTTGCCCTTGTTTATGTCTATATATTTTTTTTGTATTCATCAGTACTCCTCTCATATATGCTTTACTTACATCTCCTACAAATTCCCTGAATATACCCTTATTCATATTCAGAACAAAGTATTCAGATAGCAATTTTTTACAATCATTAATATACTTTTCATATCTAAATAAACTCTCATTCGACCTCCAAGACCTTCTTGCCTGCACTACCCTTCCCAATTCCGTCCAGACTGGGTTATGATCCGAAAGGACCCTCGCCGCAATCTTTGTCTTCTTCACCCTAGAAAATAAATCATTAGGTTGACCATTTTCATTCCTCACCTTCCCATCTCAGAGAAAGAAAAGACTTCCACGTCTTGGCCTTGCAGTGACCAACAGCTGCTGACCAGCTTCCTATCGGTCAGACCCAGAACGGCGTTTATGTTTCCAGCTTTGAGCAGCTCCTCCTTAGCGCAGCCATCTTCAGAAGGATGGAACAAAAGCCTAGAAAAAGAGAAGTCTGCTAGTGTCAGGCGTGCCTCCCTCAATAACCAAGAAAGAAAAGCCCCAACTCCATTGTTCATGGAATTAAAATACTTTTACTGGTTATAAAAAGATAGCAGCGAAAGTAAAGCAAGATCTGAGCCAGGAAGGCGCGAACAAATACATATCAAATGATAACCCAGCCCCATCCCTCCAACGACCCCACCCCAGTGTCCAATCTGCAACTCCCTTAGGTGTCATGTGGGGTGCATCTCCAAAAGGCATCATCAGGTTTGTATGCAGGATGGTTGGCCTTGACCAAGTCCAAAGGCCACCAGCATGTGCAGAAGAAAGCTCCCTTTTCCATTCACTCCTGTACCATTTATTCCCATCCCAAATACCAAGCCCCCACCCTCCCCGTTTCCATGGCAGCTGACAGTAAGTAAGCGAAGCAGAGTGACAGCTTACCATGCAACATCAAAACCTGTTAACAAGGGGCTATCCATTTACAGCTATGCAGGAAAGCTGTAAGATGGGAGTAGTACACCAATAAAAATACCAACATGCTATTGCAAAAAAAAAAAAAAAAAAAAACTGGCTGGTTTTTACCATAAAAATGGTACCGATGGTTAGAAATGAGGGGGAAAGGCCGGGACCGAAAAACAGAGACAAGTTAAGAATTGGAAAATATGGTATTAAGAAGGTGTGATAGGTAGAAATCGGATATGTATTTGTAATTATATAAAAGAAAGGATCAATGGATAGGTATCCATTACTTATGTAATGGATATAAAATGTAATTGTTGTAAGATCTAATCACTATATGGAAACGTTTATGCCAGAAATGTCGCACTATGTCTAATGCTTTTAATGTTTATCTAATAAAACACTTTTTGTTAAAAATAAAAAAAATAAAAATAAAAACAGGCTAGGGAACTTGCCCGTCAAAGGCTTTCCATCTGCAACGCTAAACCTATAAATGGCAAATTTGGACCCTGGAGTTTCAATAAGATTACAGGGAATAAGGAATGTTTCATTTTGCCACCAGCTTAGGGTGAGGGAGCATTCACGTGCTGACCATGTCCAGTTGTCCCTCTCCACCCTAGCCCAAGGAGAGACATGGCGAAAGTCCTGTCCTGGTACCTGGAAGTGTTTGGTTCTGGATGGGGAGAGACAGGCTCAGACCCAACCCCAAGAAGAGGCCAGAAGCTACCTGATTGAGTCCTCTTTGATTCCCAACAGGGTCGTGATTGGAGGGTCTTCTGAGACCCCTTTGAGGCTGATCTGGGCTGGGATGTTCCAAGGACATTCATTCATGTCCTCCTGATCTCTCCATGCCCATCCCCCATCCCCCCAGATGGTCAGCAAGACCCTGCATAGTAGCAGAGACAACAGAAGGCTCAGCAAAGAGGTGCTTTCCACAGAGGCTCTCCCTGCTGAGAAAGAGTCTTATCCTCTAGGCTGGGACAAGTTTATCACAGTGCAAAGAGAAAATAATCTGCTGCAAACTCCACATAGGTGTCAGGAAGGGCATCCAGCCAGTAAATTCTCAGCTCTGTTCAATCACCCCGACTCCACCAAGATAAAAATGGATTTACAGGATCAGAAAAAAGAAAAAAATGTAACTATCATTATTTCATTTAATATTTGTGGTAGGAATGAGATGGAGGAAAATTTGCAGAATTTGCAGAAACAAAACCAGGGAAACTTCAGGTGCTTTGTCTTGTGCAAAGGGTCACATCCATTAAATGCAAAGTTGTATACAATTGCTTGAAATACACAAAAGCAGCAAACTGCTCCTCTCATGCATTGGACCTAATGGCCTGATTTGGTTCAAGGAAAAAAAAATCACAGCAAACCCAATTTTGGTGAAACTCTTGAGAACGAAAGCCCACAGCATTCTAAGCATCTCAGGATTCATTAGACTCCGTTGCTGAAATGCATAACCAGCCTCAAATCTTTTGAGAGTTTATATAAAAAATGAAAAATACAAAAGAAAATGATGGGAAATTACGGGAAGAAAAGGGGAAGAGAAAAATGTAGGAGAAAGGGAGAAAAGAAAGAAAAAGTGTTGATGTCCACCTCCTTTTGGTGTAGTAGAATAAGATAAAAGCATCAAACCTCAACTTTCTACTTTTCCGACCACGATTTTTGCACTATCCCACTTGAGTGGTACCTTTGTTAAGATCTGCGCAATTTTTGTGTATGGGGAGTGTATGGTGTGATTGTTGGATGAATGAAACCACCTAATTTTAATTACTTTTTACTATACCATTGTATTTTTATATGTTTTAAATGGATTTTAGTGGGGTATGTATGTGAGAGTGACTGGGAGTGCATCTAAGAGGATTGAGGGCACGACCTGGTGCCTCCCCCACTGAGTACACAAGCAGAAGTGCTCAGTTTCTGTCGGACAAAATCGCTCAGATTCGGACAGACCTGGACTCCATTTGGACAGAACTAGCCGAGATGCCGAGGGAGGGTCTTGCTCAGACTTTCTGGAATGAGTTCCAGCTTGTCACCCCTGATGAAGTGGACAAGGCCATGGGAGCGATGAGTGCCTCCCCCTGTTTACTGGATCCGTGTCCCTCCTGGCTGGTCTCAACCAGCAGGGAGGTAACATGAGGCTGGCTCCAGAGTCCAGATGGAGGGATCCTTTCCACGGCCT